CCCAGCCGCTCCGCGGCATGTGGGATCTTCCCAGACCGGGGCACGAACCCGTGTCCCCTACATCGGCAGGACGACTCCCAACCACTGCGCCACCAGGGAAGCCCCAGACCCTTTTATTATAACCTTATCCCTATACATATAAAACCCGTATTTCCTTCAATTCAAAAATGTATTAAACTGATAAATTATGAATAAAAACAGACTATAACATTTTTGCTTTCTAAAAGACTTCATTAGAAGTGAAATATATGAAAGATCTTTGCTTTAAGGATGCACTCATTTTTTATCTGTAATTGAATTTCAAGTTTCATTTTTAAGTGATTATGTCTCATTTAAATTTGACTCTGCCATAGATATCAGAACAAATCTCAATGAAAATAATCTTGGGACTTCCCTGGTCGTCCAGTGGTTAAGACTCCACACTCCCAATGCAGGGGGCCCGGGTTCGATCCCTGGTCAAGGAACTAGATCCCACATGCTTCAACTAAGAGCCCGCAGGCTGCAACTAAAAGATCCCGCATGCCGCAACTAAAGATCCCGCACGCCGCAATGAAGATCCTGCATGCCGCAACGAAGACCCGGTGCAAGCAAATAAAAAATAACTAACTAAATAAATAAATATTTTTTTTAAAAAAAGAATGCTTTTATTAAAAAAAAAAGAATCTTGAAAGGATCTGATATAAATATACTAATATAAAATTATATTAATACTTTTATAACAAGAAAATATAATCAAAATAGTATCATTATTCTATTCTGGGACATTATTAAGAATTGTAATCCCTAATATATTCTTTATACTTTAGTATACATATGTCATTTTAATCGTCATAAAAACTATATAAAACAGAGAATATTATCATACGTCTTTGACAAGGGAAAAAAACAAGACTTGGAACTCGAATTGTCAAAGGCCACAGAGCTAGTGAGGAGAAAAATTAGGTTCTGATACAGATTCTTTACTCAACTATGTGATTTATGAAAGGACCTGGTTACCTTCCACTGGTGTTTGTACCATTTCATTAGTTTTTATACATGGTCTTTAAAATCACCCATCAGGGTATTAGAACAAGTGTCATGTGTCATAATACCATTTTACAGATGAGGAAATGCAAGCTTGAGGAGGTTAAATAATTTGCTCCCCATAAGGCCAGTCAGAAGCCAAGCAGAAATTTCTGACTCAGCCCTAGATCTTCTATTTAACACCACAAACAACCACACTAGAAATAAGATTATGAGAAAAGAAACCAGAGCCAATAGCATGTCTCCTAATTTGTCATTGTTTAGGTTAGTTTTTAGGTCATCTTATCAAGGTTAAGTAACGCACTATATAGGGAGTCCCTGACATCCACTGGAGAAGTGATTTTGGGGTCTTTGTGAAAAGATATACCTACGATTACCAGATATTCAAAATTATGAGTAGGAGGTAGAGAAGGAGATCACAGGAGACTAATTTTATCCCAATATGTGCAACAGATTATGAGGCATCTCTTAATTTTTATCCTTCCTTCTACCTCCTTTTCCTCTACTATATTTCTTCTTCCCAGTATGTGAGGGTTCAAAGTTTAACCAGAAGATGTTGAGCTGAATTACTTTAAAGGAATCTAGTCTTGCCTATCCGGTAAGGTAGAATTGAATTAGGAAAGGCTAGAGTCTATAGCTTTCCAAATCCTCCTGAAATTTTTAACTTTGGCAAAGTCGAGCAGGTCAGCATAAACAGGCACAACAGGTATTTTTTATGGGATCATCAGCTGCCACCAGGGTCCTAGGAGAAACTGACCAATAGACAAGCTGTGTGCCTGACACCTTATCTCCCATTCTGAATCCCTCTTTCCTTCCTCACCCTACCTTCCTCTCTGCTGCTCCTTGAAAGAAGTTACTTTCAGAGCTCTCAGTTCCAACTTCGTCCAGGTCTGTTTTACCCCAGAATGTTCCAAATTCTAACATTCTATCATCCACTCCACATCATGAGCTGACTGATGCCCCCCGATTCTGCCCTCTGAGCCTTCTCTTCCCCACAGCAGGTATCATGGGGTCTCCACTCCCGGGTTGGCTCCACCCCACAGCATACTGAACCCACAATTCAGTCTGTTAACACACTAAACCCCCTAGACTGTAGTAGATACCCAAGAATTCTTACTGAATGCATGAATGAATCCCATCCTCAATAGATCGGAAGGTCTTAGTCTGCCTCTGACCTTTTACCTGACACCTAATAGCCACCTTTTTCTGCCTTGTTCTTGTGAGGAAGGCTCTACCCTCTACCCTAGTTCCTATAAGCAGATCCTGTATGTTTAGTCTCTGACTTGGTTACCCATTTACTTACCAGACTAAAAGCTGCTTTGTCCGGGATACTCTTCCCAGTTTTCCTAATGCTAACCTCTCGCTTGTCTGTATCCCTGCAAATTGCCTGTCTCTGAGCTTCCTGTTTGTGCCTTGAGCATATCTGTCAAAACACTGTCTCAGTCAATATTATTTGGCTGCTACTAAAAGAATCCCACTCAAACTGGATTAAGAAGAATAGGGAATTTATTCTAAGGTTGGTGGGTTATCTCAGAACCTAGTGTGAAAGGGCACAGGATTAGGTTCAGAGATGGAAATTTCTCAGGAGTCCAGGCAACTACTCTTTCAGTCTCATTCTTCTTCTCTGGAGTCATGCTGTCTCTCATCTCAGCTTGTCTCTGAATGCCTGACTCATTCTTGTCTTTCTGCAGCCGCTTCTCCTGCTTCCTAGTGTACGCAAGTGCTCCAGCAGTCTCTAAGAGCCCTGCTTCAACACATCAGCTCAGTTCAAGGAAAATTCGACTAATTAGATTTACTGAACCCCGATTCAAAATTCCCAGAAGGTTCAGCTTGAGACAGGTGTCTCTTCGGTCCAATTAACCAAGGTTAAGAAGGTGTGATATGGTGTATGAAAACTGCCTGGTGGGTAGAAAGGTTAGTTCTCAAAAAAAGAGAGTTGCAGGGATGTCTACTTCAAACTCCCATCCATTATATCTTGCTGGACCTCCTCCGTGCTAGTTCTTGCCCTTCAACTAGCACTTTCTACCATGTTCTCTGGATACTGGCTTCTGTCTGCCTACCTGGACTTCATCTCATCAAATTCATGTGCCTAGGCCCTAGTGTCTGCTTTCCTTCAGTGGGTATGTCTGCTTCCCATGCTCTAGTTCTTCCTCCCTCACTGTGACATTTGTGGAACGCCTCATCCAAATCATATTCTTTCTTAACTTCCCTCATCCCAACTTCCTAAGTCAAAACTCCCATTGCTACACCTCTCAGATAAATTCAAGTAATGAAAATAACACAATTCTTATTACGATGAATATCTAGATGCCTCTGAGTTAAGGACACTGCACTGATGTTTAAGGAAGGGTTTATAATCTAGTTGGGCGGACACAAGGTGAGATAATTAATTAATGGTGCAAGGCTGTAAATGCTGAGTTTTGACTGGTTTGGACAATAAGTGCCAGTAGAACATTTAGGAAGTGTCACTGAGTCACTGAGGTCATCTATGGTGGCCATGAAATGTGCCACTAGGATCTCCTGCTCTGGGCAGGCTTTTGGTCTGATGTTCCCAGTTGTCACTCCTCTGGATCAAATACTGAGTCCCTGCTGAGGCCACACTTCCTGCAGGCTCCTCCTGGTAATGGCTAGGCATGGTGGGGGGATTCAGGTGAGTCTATTCGTCTAAGATGTGGGATAAAGACTCCCCATGATTCTGGCCTTTCTTGGAGCTGTGCTGTACTCTGAGGTGCTTCCTACCCAATCCTCCTTCCTTCCCCCTCTCCTTCACAGGGGTCAGCCCTCCATCATAGTCTGAAGGTTCTCCTTGCCTTCTCTGGTTTACCACCCTACAACTTTTAGCTTTTACAAGTGTTTCCCTTGATAAATATATGGTATGTATCTAATCACATTTGGTACCTGCTTCTAGAAGAACCCAAATTAACATGGCATCAAAGAAAGACAGGGGGTGATTCTTACTACGCTTCAAGGAAGGATAGTTCTTAGACAGATGTAGAGGATTTGGATGGAAGCCCTATGGGGAAGACAGTATTAGGAGAGGAAAGGAGATAGCCTTTCTCCTTGTAGCTCTCAACTTGACCTGAACATAAGGCTAAAGTGGACTGAGTTTGCCTTGGAGGTAGAGGCTCTGGTCAGTGAACTGCAGACCTACATTCTATGTTCCCTGATTTTATCAGGTTCTTTTTCTCTTGACCTGTCAGAAGCCCTCCCTAGAGGATTTCATTCCTCCTAAGGCTTTACCAACCCCTGCTACTGTAACAAGTCCTAAATATTTCTCTCTCCCCTGAGCTCCAGATGCAGGTCTCCAACCACCTATCAAATAGCAACATCTCAACATGCTCAGACCTACATACTGAAGCCTCAAAGCCTTCCCATCCAAAGTGGAATTCCAGTCTCCCACCCTAAACCTCCTGTCTAACTTGGACACACAGGCTAAAACTCTCACACCCTTACACACCATGCTGAAACCTTCATTTCCCTCCTCTGTCTCTCTCTATCAACTGCTAACTTCTATTGCTCTTATATTTTAATATTCTTGCATTGCTCTTATATTCTCAGAACTCACCTCTGTGCTTGCATTGTCCCTGCTCAAATTGTGTGCAATCCAAATTTCCTGTTTACCATTTCCAGTGTGTCTTCATAGCCAATGGAGTAACAGGAATTGTTGTCAGAGATTGTTTACAGATGAACCTAAACCCATCTTTTTCAGCTTCCCTTACAAGCCTCCAGACACGCTATGTTCTAGTCACAGCTAAACATTTTCATTCCCCAATATACCAGGCATTCCCATACATTCTGGCTTGTATACTTGGTCCACGCTTATGATAGGCAATGGTAGGCAGTTCTGTTCTTAAGACATGATTTACATACTGCATACTCTACTGAAACTCTTTTCCTGGTACAACCCATCCCTCCCTCCCTCTCTGTGTTCCAACAGCACTTTGTATATTTATTATGGTACTTTACGCATACTTTTTCAGTAACATCTGTCTCCTCCAATTAATTGAGAGCTTCTCTGAGACATGGATTGTATAATGTTATCTTTATATTTCCATATTAAAACACAGTGATCGGCAATAAATATGAATGGCTGCATGAATGAATGAAATCGAGCTCAATCTGCCCTTAATAGATAAGGACACCAACCCAGAGAGAAATAAAGAAGTCAAACATGGCTGTTACTGGCACAACCAGAATCTGAATCCAAATTTAGAGCTATTTTGACCACAGCCTTTACCTAGGAATGTGTAAGCTTTTCCTCTAATTTTCCCAGGTTAAGCCAGGTCAGCCCCCTGATCCCTACTGTCTGTCGGTCCTCAATGCTCAGGTTACATCCTGGAGTCCCACCATACTCCTAGCATTTCTACGGTTTTAAGGGAAAGGTGCTGGGGCACAAAGCACTTTTATAACTCCTGGAATCTCCAGATATAAGAGAACTGAGTATAGAAAAAGACTCTCCTGATCCTTTTGACACACACACCAGTCTTCCCACAAAGACCAAAAAAGCTTCACACCACCCTTTCTAACTCTGCCATTATTATTTTGAGGTTCTTTTTCAGTAAAATTTCTTCATATTTCTACTGCAGGCATTAGGTTCTGACGTGTAACTGAGGACCTGGTGCTTTGGTCATGTCTCACCATTGTCAAGAAGGAGTTCTTAATCTGGAGTTACTGGCTGCCATTTTCAGTAAATTCCCAAAGCAGCCCTTGGGGAAAGATCGTAATTGGTTGCTTTCTGTCCTGGGAGTGGGAGACAGGGAAACATGACAGGACAAGGGCATGGAAGCCATAGATGGAGATGCTAAAAGCTTTGTAGTTTTCCTTGATAAAATTCCCTTTCTCTGTGAACTTATAAATGAAAGCTGTTTCCAGAGAGAGTTGAGATGATGAACAGTGTTAACTGTGACCCACCAAGAGGAAGCACGGCCCCTCCTCCTGCCTGCCACAGGCTGCAGCGGGCTACAGAGAATGAGAAAGGAATAGAACATCGGGAAGGACACCTGTGGCTCTGGGGGGGAGAATCAACCTGCTTCCCATGGGCCAGCAGTTCATTGCGGGTATTCCTCCCCCACCTCAGCAAAAGCTCCCCATTCACTGGGAAATAAAAGAAAAAAAAAAAAAGACTCTACTGGTAGAGGGGGTGTAGGCTGGCACAGTAAGAACACAGCAGTCAACCCTCACTTCTCTTGCATCTGCCTTCCAGCTCCCCTCATCTGGGCTCACTAACCTCATCCCACTATCACGCCTCCCCTGCTAAGAGAGGGGAAGGTCCCTGTTCCCCCAGTTCCATTGGAAGCCCTCAAGCAACCTCCCTGGAAGGTTGCTGTCATTCGTGGTCCATGACAATATATCTGGAATGTGATAAGATGCCCACCAAGGGCTCAGGAGCTGACACTGAAGGGCTGTCACTGCTCCACAGAGCTGTGTCTGAGCAACTGTGCTGTTCCTTGAGTCACAGTCCCCTCCCCACTGCACCCTGACAGTCTACCTCCTTGGAGGAAACAGTTGTGCTCCTGAACCTCACCCAGCCTGTAAATGGAAGCCCTAGAGTCCACTGACCAATCAAAATGAAGTACTATATGCTCCCTATGATACACCACCCTCTGAGTCACTCCATCATGCTTTACTGAACTCAGTGTTGACATTATGAAGCTGCTTGAACCCTACCTTGCTTATCGAGCTGGGCCTATCCAGTCCCCCTTCCTAAATGACCCATCAATGCCTCCATCTCATCTTTGAACACAGATCTGGTATCCAGTTCTGTTTCTTATCTTTTACTATGTTCGCCAGTGAGTAAAAAGCTCCACGTGGCTGATGAAAGCAACCTACAAAAATACAGGCATGAATCATAAATCACTAAGTATAAATTTCTCTGTTATGGGCACATAATGTTGCTCTCATACCTCAGCTTCCAGGGGCTGACC